CTGCTGCATCAGTTATCATTTTAATATTTTAAGGTTCGCCAATGGGTCAGGGACTGGATCCAAAGATCAACATGGGGCTTATTAGGCCTTATTGAGTGAGTTACAGCTAACACACCAGGCCAGCTTCAGAAATTTCTTGCGCATGGATGTAACTTCATTTCACTAATTATTAGCAAAGGTGGGACCATTAATTGCCAAGGAAGATACAGTAATGAGACCTGCAAAATAATTAATTTAGTAACATCATGTACGGTCCAAACTTTTTCTGCGTTGGTTGCCATTTTGAAAGATGGGAAGGCAGTCACATGACGTCTATACGGCAGCTGATTTGTTAAAGATTGATAACTAATTTAAATATTGCCAACATTTGTTGGAAAGATGAAACATGCAGCTAAAAATTTGAACAACGTCATACATGTTTGACCATTTTCAACCTTGTTGGGAAAGCTGTCTACAAGATCAAACATTTGTCCACGAACACGTCGTACAAATGTATGACGATGTTTTGAACAAATGTATGATCGTGTAGACGGGCCTTAATCGTCTTTGGAAAAGAAGTCACTTCAACTTTAGTCGATAATAAACTTATTACAAATTAAAATAGATAAATTTCAAATGGGAACTGTCTGCAATATGATCCAAAAGATTTTTCATCTTCAGTCCATCCATTTACCAATAGGTCAAGACCATCATTTTCTCATTAGAATAAGTTTGGCTTTCACAGTAACATAAGGAATATGACCAAATAAAGTTAAATCAATGCAGAAATCACAAGAAAACATTTTGGTTGTACTATTAATCTGGGCAAAAAAAAAAATTAAAAATTTAAGTCTCTTTTGAATAAAAAACAAGACTCACATATTTTTCTCCACAAGATTTTATTCAAATTTTTTTTCTTAGATTATTGTTGTGGTTTCTTAATATTTGTATTTCCAAAGATTATTACCTATTAAAATTTCTGGACTGTCATTCTTTAAACAATGAAAGTATTTTGAACAGTTCTTTAAACTCGTATTTTACAGCAGATTCCCATCTGCAACTATTATTCTAGACAAACTTATTCAAAGGAAATCATGTTAACTAATATCAGGAGGTATATTAATTATTTTAACACCTAATTATATTATCATCGTTAAGAGATAAATACCTGTAATTTACATACTAATTACATATTCAAATTATCAATTAATTAGTCTTTATCTTTGATCAACTTTCACCTTAACCCTCACCTAACCGCTTTAATCTTCTTATCAGAAATTAATGAAGGTTCAGAAACGGGTCAGTGAAAATAATCTCTTTTTTCATAACACCACATTAACTTAATATCATCTACATGCTTCATTTCCTAATCACTTTCTTTAGATTTACCAGGTTAACTAGAGGTAACAGAACACCTGATACCAACCATAGACTTTACACATTTCTGCCATCATAATGATTATCTGAATATGCTTAGTAAGCTGCAAAATGCTTCAGAGAACTGTGGAATGGAATTTATAAATCACAATTAGACAGGAGAAAAAACAACTGAAAACTAATCCTTGAATAAAAATGCCCTCAAGGGTAGAATAAAGCCAGACATTTTTGGGCCTGCAATAATTGAAACTATAATTAATACTAGTATATAAAACACTGGACATCAATAGAAATAATCTCCTACCCATCAAATTTTTTATTGCAGTTTTCCTTAGTCTGTTTTTCTACAGCCTTTTAAATGCACTTTTCTGACATTTAAGAACATGCAATCAGAACATTTTGAGCTACTAATCAAGTTTCATATTTGATGCTATACACAATTAAACAATATTTCTAAAATGGCTGACAACTATGAAGGAAAAATCTGGAACGAACCACGTTTTAAAAGGATGAAATGAATCATGATAAAATATTATAATTACTGAGAGTCTTTATTATATAATAGCCTCAAGTTTCGCGCTTCATAAATAGTGCAATAAATAAGATTTGTGAATGGAGGCAAATTAATCAGAAGTAAAAGGATCAATCTGTGTAATTGGTCTCTAACAAACGTTACGTTATAATTTACCGTTAAAAATATTGTAAGCTTCACAAGATCTCTTTTCAATTCTATCAACCGTTTCCAGCCAACATGTCACATTACAAGTCAGTGCTTTCAGCCAATCTAACTTTTCTTACACAATGAATGTGTGTGTTTGCATGGGAAATTTCATGATTATAATTCATGGTAATATTTGAGAAATTGACTGAAAATCAATGTCTGGTTAATCTAAAGATTGAAAAGATTTAAGTATAATTATAGCCGTGTTAGATGGCTATTTATAATCATCAATAATCACCAACACAGGGGGTAAACACATCTTCTCATGTCATTTTCCAGTAAATAATTGATGCTTTAAGCTTCCTAAATGATCAACATGATATAATAAAGTCAAAATAAAAAACAGAATTAAAATTTCATAGAATGAAACTCTTGCAATGGCTAAAACAAAACTCAACTTAATTTGATTTGCAATGATCTCATAAACAAGGGCCAAACTTAAATTGAAATGTGTCTTAATTATGTAACAGATGACATAAACTTATAATGACCTGATAAAAGAAGTTCAAAAATAGAAATTATAAAACAATGAACTGTATATGAAATGTGAATATGATTTTGAATTATGAATCAGATGACATTGTTTATATAATGATGAAATAAATGTCCTTGATTTTGACATTACTTACATAACAAATGAGTTATATTATTTCCGTAGCACCAGTAGGAAACTAGGATGAGTGGTAATCAAGTAGATATAGGGCGATAATTAAATTTGTTTGTTTTCTTTCATTCTGTTTGATCAAATTTTTAAAATGATTTTAACTGTTGTCAACTAGATAAGTAGGAATATCAAAGAAGAAAATGATGTAATTTTTTACTATATCAAAGGCTTTATTAAAATCATAGAACATTGACTTACATAGGCACATAATTTGAAACTATGTGCAGAGGAACTATGTACTTCATAATGTGGATACTGTTGACAGTTGAAAATCCCAAAAGAATATGCTTATGTCATTGTTCCACAAATTTTTCTTACTGCATACTTAATGATATTGTCTGTCTTCACAAGCCCAAACTGGTACAAAAACCTAGAACTTAGTTAGAACTCTTATTCAGCCACACACACTGTGCCCATTGGTATGTGAACAAACAATATATAACTCTAATCAAAATGTGAAAACAACAGCATAAGTTCAAATTATTTCTTGAAAGCTAACTTTAAGAAACATCCTGGGGAAAAATACTACATATAGTTGATTTTGTAATATGAATGTTAATTCAGGAAATCTTGTTTAATTAGTCAAACTGGAGGATATTATGACTATTCTAATTCTAAAACTGAATGAATGATACAATTTATTGATAAGAAGTGTGACTAGGGAAGGTGGGTGGTCTGTGGAAAACAATGGATTCATTGTATGAATCCACTAAAACTTGAAACAATTATCTTGTTGTACAATATCTTGTTTTTATTAACATTTATTGTACCTCTATCAAATCAACAATATTAGAAGTGAGAACTCTGAAACTTATTTTATTGCAGCTTAAATTCAATAAATCTTTGAAGAGCTAAAAGCAATGTTTTCACCAAAATGTTAATTTTCCAAGATACTTACATCAATGTGACACAAGAACATAAAGACTTTATAAAATTGTGGTTACATTATTAAATGATTTGTCACCAGATAAAGTTGTGTAGTGTGATATTTAGTCACATTCACTGAGATACAGTAAAACACACAAACCATAGCAGTAACCAAGAAAACAGTTTTACAATATACTTATAGAACTATATCTAACCCTAATTGAACTATAATTGAATAGACAGGATATACATATTATCCTGTAATCCAATCTGTATGGTATGTGACACCAGCATACATCTAATTCTCAATTTGAAAACTTATAAATGTCAGCCAGTCAGCATTATATAATCTCCAACAGTTACATTTTTATAGGAGTTATATTTGAGAGTTTAAACCCAGCATGGTTAATATATCTGAACAATATAATATATCTATGATATTTCTGCTTCAATAATTTGTCTCTTTATGGTCTTCAAATTATACTTCTCTTATTTCAAATATATTCTATAAGCTATGTCAGGCTATTATAATTATATAATTGGCAACAGCTTGCTGGTCATATAACATAATCAAACTTTGATCCATGGAATTCCTCTGTTTAGCAAATATGCAGAAGGGGGAGATCACTTCCTTTTCATTCCAATCTTTATAAAAAAATTATGTCACAAACTATTTGACTACAGCTCATCTCTTGCTGTCATCATGTTTCTGTTTATGAGTTTAAGAACTTGACTTCAGATGTATGATTTTCCACTAAAAACAAAAAAACTTTAAAAAAAACCTCTTGAAAATGACAAATATTTGTAAAACTATGACCTTCAAGAAACTTTCAGTAAAATTTCCTGATAGCAAAATAAATCAATTCCATTCAATTTATAACAAAAAACAAATCATCACGGAATGACCCACATCCGTATTTCTTCGGTCATTGCTACTTAAAAAATAAATCAGTCATAATTGTTGGCATGACAAAAATGTTGATGGAATGTAGTTGACCAGAAAGAAAAGAAATTCCAGGAATGAAATGTAGTGGAATAAGTTTGGTTAATAGATAATTGATGGAATAATAAATAAAAGTAAATACAATGTACCACCTAGGTAGTTAGAAGAATAGATTCCTATTGATTAATATAGATAAAATAATTACCAACTTATCATGGCTAATGAAGCAGAAACAATTAATATAGTTTAATAATAAAACATTTCAACACTAAATACTGTCATCATTGTCACGTTATTACAGCTTATTTATACCTTGTCCACTACTTTCCCTTAGTTTACTTTATCAACTCATAGACTTTTATATTGTTTATTAACATCAGGTTTATCTTATAAATTGTCATTTGTCAAATACAGATTGTTTTATAAATATTCATAAGGACCATGATATGTTAAATGTGGGAAATTTTGCACTGAAAGCAAAGATAATTCTTTGAAGTATTCAAATATTTACTGATATGCCTCAGTTTCAGTTACATACTGTTTGAAATTTAAATTAATTGTAGTTATTCCATGTTTTGGTGTTAGAGCAATATAATACGTTTATATTCTTTTAATATAGTTTAATGTAGTTCTGCACATTTTGTACTATTTAAAGGTTTCAGATCTTTTTTTTCTAAATGAACTTTACTGAAAGTAATGATTTTTGTGCTGGCGATCTACTTTTAGTTTGTTTACCTTTTAAGTCTTGCAGGTTACCAATGTGTATGGGATTGAGTACCATTGACTTTATCAGTCACTGCCCAGCAAGACGACTCCGATTGTCTGCTGACATCAAACAGGAATTAGATTCATTTTTGTGAAGACCCTCCGCCTCCCCAATCTATCCTCAGTATTCTGTTGTTTAAATATTAGTATGTTTGTATGGCAAGGTTTAATATTTTTGTTAAGCCCTAACATATATGTTATTGTTATTATCCTTAATCTGTTTTATTAAGGCTGTTTTTTTTATTAACTAATTTATACAATTTTTTGTCATTTATTATTTCGTCATTTGATATGTGAGAAACAGGCAGGGACCCGAAATTGGAGGAAAATATAAAACACAAGCCTTACCTGTTCCGTGGAACATATATCCAATTCTTCATCTAACATATTGAGATCAAAATCTGAAAAAAAACAAAAAAATCATTTAATGGTTAGCAACGCAGAGATTTAAGTTATTTTTCAACTAAAAAAAAGGAAAAGTCATCTGAAAACACAATTATAGACTGACAAGACCCCAAATCTCATTACAATTTTTTTAAATGTAATTTTACAGTTCTTATATTAGCATAATTCAATTACTGAGCAATAGGTAAACTGTTAAAAGTTTTAAATGAACTCAAATGTGATTTTTATCTTGATTTATAGCAAACTGAGACAATGTAATGAAAAAACACTTTCGATTCTCTCTTACTTCCATTAAAACTTCTACACTTCTGATCTTATCATTATATTTTACAGGATTTCAATTCTTACAACCTATTTCCTTCCTTGACTTGTAATTTCTCTTTTTATATACAGATAAAAAGATAAAAGCTAATAAATGTAGAAACCCCCAAAGATGTTAGAACATTTAAGATATTTTATATGCTAAATGCAAAGAAAAGAACATCTTTGGTGGTAACATTTCATTATCATCAATTTTACATGAAAATCATAGTCTGATGACTGACATCAGTAGAACCTGGACAATATTGAAAACTCACGAATTCTAGAGGAATTTTCTCAGTTCAGGCTCAGTTCACACAAGCAGTTTCTTTTCTTGAAATTTTGTAACCAAGAAGCACAAAAGCTCATATCCATGTTATTCATAAGAACATATTTAATACTATCTTGTACTATATATAATCTTAAGTTGACAATATGTTTAATAGTTTTATAGTTCAATATATGTCAGATAGAAAATCTATCATGAAGACAATTTAGTTTAAAATCTAAAAACAATCATTGATATTTTCCAATATAACACTATTCTATTAAAAAAGATATAAAAAAATAAAACCATAAGGCTGAATTATAGACAAATGAAATAAAACACAAGTAATAAGAGACAGAGCCCTTGGCAGTGTCAATATCAAGTATAGCTGGGTGATTGATTGAATATTCAATGATTTTACCAAATCTATTTAACTGTGAGGTAGTGTATATGGCTAGTATTGATATGAATAGAAACCCAGGGTTTTTTCCGTGTTTGTATCATTACGAGACTGTCTAATCAATCTTGATTACACCAGACTTGTCGACGTTAATAAATTAGAAAGCTTTCAATTGTAATATGATTGTAATGCATATGTTGTTATGGTTATATTGGCTATATATACCCTACAACATGCTGAAGTGATACATGGTTTTCTACAGCTTTCGTCTAATTAATTCTATATCATTAACTTTACAGTCAGACGCCAGCCTCCATTATTCTCCATGTGGTATGCATAAATTATCAACACTAAAGGTTCTAAAAATCCATTACTGCTGAAAATGAAATTTCTTGTTTCAAAAAATGTTTCTTCAAATAAAATGCCATACATTTTCAGCCATTTTTTTAAAACCTAATTATTATATAAGTGTTTAAAAAACCATTTATTTTTTTTTCTTTGGAATTAAATCTACTATGAATCTGTTTCGAGTGTTTTTAGAACCATCAAAACCTGTCACTTTCATTATTCTGTATACTTGCATTTACAACAAAAACACCAAAAACAAATTAGCTTTTAATAAAAGGAAACAGTCCCTATGCTTTGGAAAAAATTTTAAAAAAAGAAAAAAGAAATTAGGGGTCTCAGACACTCCAAACATGTTAAAGTTCAATGACAATCAGAATCAAAGTCAGAATTAATAACAGGTTCCATCACAAACATTACTTGAATTTAAAACAACCTTCTAATTTGTTATGTTATTCATTCAAAAAAACTACATTTTATGTCAACTGAATATTTCAAGTAGATTTACCTATTACATTATACAATGTTCAACTACTATTGAAAACCTATTTGCACTTCAAATAGATAGCTTATAATCTTTATTCTTAAATGTCCTTCAAACTCTTTCAATTTCAATTCAAGCTTTTTTTTTGTTTAAAGAAAGGTAATGTTTGAAAGAAGTGATTATACTCCTTGTTAACAAGTTTCTCTTTTCACCACAAAAAATGTCATGTTTGGCTAGGATGAAAACCACACAAACTGCTTTCTTTATAATCTATTTAAATATGTTTTTACAATGTGTTCAAATTCAAACAATGACATAACTATAGTTTGTGATATAAATAACTAACAAGTAGAGTTATTGTCAGGTATTATAAAAGGAAGATGCTATCTTTTTTATACATGAGTAAAGTTTTAGGATTTGAACATGACACAATTATGAGGCATTGCTTTTACTGCTATTTATCCTAATAGGATATCAGGGATCAAGGTATCAGGTAATTGATATTCTATGATGAACAATCATCAGGGTTAAGCATTTAGTATTACCCTTATGAAAGAGTAAGCCAAGGATTCCTATGCATTGCTCATCCTCTTGGATGATATTTTCTAATGATGTTATTCCCAAGCTGAATCAAGTCTAATATATGTAGTTTTGATTTAAGAAAATTTCATAAAACAAGAATTTTTGTAATTTTCTAGAACACAACTAATATGTTAAATCTAAAACTATAACGAATTCATGGAAACATTTTCTTATCTTAAAATAATTGTTTTTGTCCAATTCTATCATTGAATCTTTAATGTCAAGAACTATATATATATATATATATATGTATATAGACAATGTTGGAGACCATGCTCTATATACACCCAGATATGTATCTATTATCAATAAATATTCTATATAGATGATCTTTATATATATCTAGTAGGGCTGCAACGATTCACCGTTGAATCGATGAACCGCGATTCGAAACTTCTTATCGATGCATTGCTGAAGAAAAGAATAATCGCGATACATCGGCCCGATTCTCATAAATATAATAAACTCCCTTAAATGACTAATAGCACGGAATCCTCCTGCATTTTAGAAATTTTGTCATGTTCAAATGTTAAAAAATTGCTTTTCACATATTAATATGCCAAGTGGAAGATAAATGCATGGGATCTGATATAAACTTTTTCTTTTTCCAACGTAATATGTGTTTGCATAATCATAAAATAATTCCACGAAGCTATATTCGATGGTTTGGTATTTTATTTATTTTTTTGAAGAAATTTGTTAGTCCTTGTGTGTAACAAATGATTAAAAGTGAATTTTGTACTTCTAATCGTACCAAAATAATTTAAACTGTGTTAAAATGTTATTAATTATCAGTTTTCTTTTTCTTTCCCTTTTAATCAAAGAATCGCGATTAATTATCGCAATAAATCGTATCGTTGAATGGGTATCGTTCAGTGTATCGGATCGCCACTTTAGGAATCGTTGCAGCCCTAATATCTAGAGAATTTTTTTTTTTATCAATTCTGTTATCTGAAAAGATCCTAAAGAAAGTGGTTTTCTAAACATTTTATATGTAAGAAAGGACATTGATATCATCAATTTTCACAAAATTTTCTGTTGTTCTTGCAATACAACTAAAACGGAAGCAATTAATGATGTCACTATTGCAAAAGTGACGTCATAAAACAACTAGTTAAAGATGAATTACAAGAACAACAGAAGTCTGACTGAGAACAGGAGCCTTTTTAAAATGTACTTTGTCAAGGGATCTTGTACAAAAACTGTCTATTATACATCTAGATTCTTTTCCCTTGTTAAGCCTTTCATCGGTTGAAAATCAAGTTTCAAATCTAAAGACACAATCTTATCTTACCCCATACTAAATAGGCATGAAAATTCACAGGAAAATGCTTGAAGCTGTTTGAAGTCCAAACATCTATGCAATCTTTAAGTATAGAAAATCAAATTGTCTATTCCATGTCTAATATAATGCAAATATATCACAAAGAAATGAAAAAGAAATAAACAACCTAACTGTGTCAATACACTTATAAAGTTATTCAAAAATTATGACATCTAAAATATGTATGCTATGTTGAAAATGGTTAGAATCTTGCCTACAGCCCAAGATCAAACACTATTCTGCTTTTTATGACTTTTGTGGTTTGTTTATCAAGTTATTCTTTTTTCTTTACAAACAGATAAAATCCAGCAGAACTTAACTTGAAATGACATAATAGGCTCTATAAAAATCCTTGAAAAAAAAGTATCTATTTACTACATTTTTCTATCAAAAGGTGATCCAAGTGCAAATGTTGATGGAAGATGATTTGTTAACTCTGTACCTTCAAAGCAGTTTTATAGCCTTTGTGTAGGAATAAGGTATATTTTGTTAACCATTTCAATTTCTGTCTAATGACTCTGGTAAAACAAAATGACCAGATGACAAAGTTAAATATTTGAAAAACTGCTTATTATCATCTGGATTTAGGTAATATAATAATATGTGATAAAGCTTTCATTATCATTGACAATTATTTTTCACAGGAAGCACTGAAGAAGCTATATTAGTCCTTAGAATATAAACAACGGTAAGAGAAACTATTGAAAATGGTAGTCACACATTACAGTAGAAAGGTATTATTAAATTGTTATTGTTAATGTGGAAGAAAAACAAAGATTAACATGTATCTACTTGTTAGTGGATCAAAGAGTAGTTGTATACCTATCTAAATTGCAACCAATCTCCATATAACCTGACAAAATCATTCAGGTTGATAAATAAATTTGCTGGCAAAGAATAATAATGCACATGCACATTGGCAGCCTACAAATTTACAGATAATTTTTGCCTACTAAAAGCCTTTAGAATAGTTTAATGTGTTATTTGAAATTTGTCAAAAAATTAACATGGTCACTTCCCTTCCCTTAACCTCAACTAATAAATATTTATAACATGTAAAATCTTTAATATAAATATAATCTTTCTATTATTAATCTATTGTTACAAGATAAATTCTCTTTCATATTCTAATAATGTCAATATTTCATCTAAATCTAAACCATTGTGAGGATATGTCAAGGTATCTTTTCTTTCATATTCAACATTGCTGTTGTACTAGCTCAAATTTTACCGATACAGAGCCCCTAACACCATTAAGGAGTAATTGACGGTTGACAATATGAATAAATTGTGTTGACAAAATAGGAGTTTGTATAAGTATTTGAAAATCCTTCAGGTATTTATACTGTTGAATGATTACCTTTACTGGTTTATTGAAAGGTGAAAAGAAATGAAATGTGATTTAGAATTGTGAACAAGTGTTATTGTTCGACTAGGGGACATTAAGGACATTATAGTATTCTTATTATACTGACATATTGCTGGTGAAACCATGGTTGGTCCTTGCTACAAAAACAAATTTCTATTGTTAACTTGTGTCACCCCTGCAGAGAAAGATGTCAGGCAAATATTTTATTATCATTCTTTTCTTCTCACAATCAATCTTCACTGTAGTAGCAGTACTTTTTATTCTGAATTATTCAGGATGAAGATGATATAGGTGAACTCCAATTACAATATTCATGTTACAAATAATTAATTTCTATAACTAGCTGTACATCTTGATGAAGATTTTGTATTCCAAACACATCTTCAGCATGAGCTCTAGTCAATTAGGATGACATTTTTGTATTTTTTCAGTCTTTTCAAATGTATAGTCATTCTACTCCCACAAAAATGATTCATGAAACTCATACAAAATGAGCCCCTGTCAAATCAACTGGACATGTGACTTTTTTCTTTTATGGAAGTTTTCAGACATTCACAGTATCAAATCCACCTATTAGTATTGAGACCTCCATGGTGAATTTCAGGTTATTTACTAAAATAGATATTACAATATTGGAAGGACATGTTTATTCTTTTAGAACACTTAATGCTGCTTTGCACCTGGGTTTGCATTCAATAAGAAATAATATGAAATATTTATTTGAATTTGTGATGTGAAGTTTTTGGTTAAGAAACAGCCTTAACAAGATGTATACAAATTGACAATTTTCAATGTTTATTGGTAAAATACACATTATAAATTATCCCAAGAGTTTCAACTAACATTTCTTTATAAAAAAGTGTAAGATATTTTTAATTCAATATCATTGATGTTACAGACATCCTAGTATAGCAGACAGATATTAGCTGTAGGAAATAATTCATTTAAAAACAATGTAGCTTTAATCAGAGCTGGTACTGGAAAGATAATGTAAGCAAGTCTATCCAAAACCTGCAGATATATTATCTCAGTCCAACACTAGTTTCATTATGCTTATTTAAATCTAATGATAAATTGGAAGTTCCTCTATCTTTATGTTCTGATAAAATTGTACATTAACTTTCTGCATATATCTACATGTCAAATAAAACTAGAATAGTGTAAGATATATAATTTATAACATGGTCTGCTAACTTTAACTCTACATTAAGAAAAATAGTTACATTGTTCTATATTACTTAACAACTAAGACTGTTACAGGTGTAACTAACACTGTAACTGATAAATATAACACTGTTACCTATTTAACAAAACACTTATTTTCACAGAGAATTTGTCTGTGTCCTAAGTAGCTAGTCAAGTTGAGTGGAATATTGGTGTATCTTTAACATGGTCTACAAGATTTATCTATTAAACTATAACTTTAATAATAACACCCTATACATTGTTAACTAACATTGTTCTATTACTTCTGTTACTAATAAAACTAACACTGTTACTAATACAACTAACACTGTTACTAATACAACTAACACTGTTACTAATAAAACTAACACTGTTACTAATACAACTAACACTGTTACTAATAAAACTAACACTGTTACTAATACAACTAACACTGTTACTAATAAAACTAACACTGTTACTAATAAAACTAACACTGTTACTAATACAACTAACACTGTTACTAATAAAACTAACACTGTTACTAATACAACTAACACTGTTACTAATAAAACTAACACTGTTACTAATACAACTAACACTGTTACTAATAAAACTAACACTGTTACTAATACAACTAACACTGTTACTAATAAAACTAACACTGTTATTAATACAACTAACACTGTTACTAATAAAACTAACACTGTTACTAATACAACTAACACTGTTACTAATACAACTAACACTGTTACTAATAAAACTAACACTAATCTTGATACTAAATGTGTCATAATGTAAAAAGTTATCTTGATTTATCTGTGTCACAATAACATTAATAACAACACCAATACTCCAGATAACATCTGAATGTCACAAATTTCTAATGTAATAGATTATAGTATATTATCATAGATTTATATAATTATAGATTTATTTTCAAACAGATTCAACTGTCTAGCTTACCAAAAAGGCACTTTAACCTTATCAAGAAACTTTCAGAAAGAATTTGTCAGAACTAAGTAACAAATTACTGAAAATCTAACTTGAATTCTTAAAGACAATATTGCTAGCATGATACAATGGTTAATCGATGCCTCACAATATATATATACCCTCCCTAGGTCATGTTCACTATGCCTACTTCACAATACCAGGAATTCAGATGAATATGTAAACATATAAAACTTGACACCATCAAGATGCAGCAGAAATTGTCAGAAACTGTTCTTATCTTGTTGACAATGAATTACAATTTATTTTGTAATTTTCTCAAATATGCAATAGAAATATTGGTAGAATCTTCGAAGGTAAAATGTTTCTTCTCATTTTTACCCATATAGTATTCAATAGTACCATAACCCTTGTATCAGATATTGTGACATGATTGGCAATACTCAGCAAGAAAAGACCAAAGCAGGAAAAAAGCCAGAAGAATTATGATCAGAAACGTTTATGTTTTGTAACTATGTATAGTAGTTAGTAAGGCAAAATGAATGGCCCTAGAAAGATCTAGTAGAGATAACAGTTATGGTTCAAAAACTGACATCAAAGAAGCCTTGATGTTTATATTGTTTATTTTCCTGTGGTAGGAACATGATATCAAATTAGTGAATATAGAAATATAAGGAGAGTATTCTGATTAAAAATAATATATGGCCCAGTTAAAGCTGAAGTCTGTGTGGTTTATTTATTTCTCTACATTAAACTGATTTACAAGCCATGTTGATTAAAATGTTCAATTGTGCATTTAATACATGTCTAGATAGTCTAGGTATTTATTACAGAAGCCTTTATCTACCACATCTATATATACATATTACTTTTATTGCTTCATAAAAATTGTCATTTATGTTAAATAGAATGTCAATATTTCAAAAAAACTCAATAAGATAAACTCATAAAATTATGTATAAAAAGTGAATTTTCAAGGAAAGGCTTTGATTTCGTTGTCTAAAAGTTTGGATTTTTATTAACAAAATTGCTAGATAGCCAAAACACAACAAAACAAGCACACAGACATATTGAAAAAATTGAACATTGATGCCTTACAAAAATGAATCATGGATATAAAAAAGATAATTTTTAATTTGATATATTAATTTAATTTCAAATTCAAAAACAATGATTGCAGCACATTCATTCCATACTTTCAAGTACAATAAGCCCTGCATGTAATTTGCTTACTCTTTTATTCTTGTTCACCTTAATCTCTATTATTCCTAAAGAACTGATTAAGAAATAAATACTGCTGACAGGCATAAGGGAATGTGTAGGTTGATGTGTATTTCAGTACTAATCTAAATATGATACAACCTAGGTCTTATATTGTATCAAACCAATACTAAAAATATCATAGTGGTTTACAAGAATATATTGAATAAACAGTCAAATATGTTTATCATTTAGTTTCTACTGAATGCCTTATGTTTAAATAGAAACATAATGTTTCTATGTTTTATTAACTAAAAAATTTTTTTATCTACTCAAAAGCCTATTCTATTCTACAATTCTTACATTTCATTTTCTATTTTGGGAAATTTGGATAGATTTTAGACAGTGGAATGGGTTCATGAATAGTTACATTATCAGGTGTTTAAAACATATTCACTAATAATTGAAGAACTAATAGGTTATAGTAAAGACCAAAGTTGACAAGTTTATCCCAGTGAACAAATATTTAAACATACAGAAATTTAACTGACATGAACAGCAATTTGCTATTAGATGAATTGAAATGTAAATAGTGAAATAAGCAAAACTTAAATTAAACTACTGCTGTTAAAATAGCAATCACACAGTGGCATGAGGTGTTCCAGAAGAATAAACTTGACCTACATCACTCACTCTCACTTGCTAAATCAGCAATAATGAGGGGTAAACACCTAATTTTGAATATAAGCTCCCCTTAGGACAGTGTGAAAGAATTAATAAATAGGATAAGAGATTTACCTAATTGACAACTTATTCCCATCCTGGTTACAATTGATATAATCATGACAATCAGAAGTAGAGGTTGAATTATAAAGATTAGTAAGGCTAGTAAATTACTGTTGATTCCCAGACTAAAATATCTTAGCAGTAAGAAGTGAAAGAAAACTGTTTTATCCTCCTGCCATCATGTATCATTTAAATGTCTTTTGAAACCAAAATATTTGTTTATAATTAACTCCATTAAAAATCAAATAATCAACACTAATCTTTCAAACATGTCTTCAATTTGAGAAACTGGCTAGAAAACTGTGTATTTCCACTAAAAGAAAAGCTAAATTCCAACATAACTCTACTCCTGTTTCAGCTTGAAAACATTCCCAACATGTGGTAGTAATTACACATGGAAAGAGTTTATTCTGAGGAAAAAATCCACTTACTTTCTGATAGAGCCATTCCTGTGTCATTAGTCTCAAGCCATACAAAAGTCATAGTGAGTGGTTTGTGCCACCTTAATCTCAACAACACAATAGCTTAGTCTATTAACCTTTACTTTAAACTAAACAGTCACTTTATTTCTTACCAGTCAAAATATCACTTGAAAAAAGTACATGTTTAACTTTCACAGTCAGAAAAGTCATCTGTATGAAGAAAAAAAGATGTCCTTTTAATTCTAATGACATTTAAGAAATGTGCGGCCCTTGTTTTATAGGTAATGTCAGCTAATTATTACTGTCATTGTCTATTTATAGATAATCAATGGAAAAACAAACCAAGCTTAAAAGACAATATGAACATCATATGATTCACCACAGAGCTAAAAACTGAAACATATTTATGACATTTTCCTTCAGTTTTTCTGTTTTACTTTCCAGATATAAATTGTGAACAGAAATTTCTTTATATGTTTATGTGACTCACATCACAATCAAATTTTAGGTTACAAAACCTTAATTTAAATTTCAAAGTTATTGTCTGAGCAAAGTAAAAAGTTTTTTGAACTTTATCCAGTATTTTTTTTATGAGAGTTGGAATAGCCGCCTCAAAATAGTACTGTTAGTCTTAGAAAGTCTAATTCTTTCACATTTTAATTCTGATGTCTTAGTCTGATACCTCCATGTGTGGTATTTCACACAACATTAAAAAAGACCCAACATTTGTATAAATACTGATCATATTTCAACATGTCTTTTCTTTGAAGGCTTCTTACTTACATGACATTTACCAAAGGTCACAGTCTTTTTTGTGAGAAGTCTTGTTGAAAGAATACATTTTTAACTATTTTATTTTCTGACAATGTTGAAGTTTGAAATCTTATGAATGTAAGAGTAAATTATTTGTGTTTGTCGTTCTCATCAAAATATAGGCTTCATGGAAACAGTATAATGGGTTTTGCTTGCAATGTCTTTTTTTATCGTGTTACTTTTATGGTAAGTGCAGGTGAACCACATCGGATACAGAGTCAAAAACAACTACCAAGACCATAAAAACAAGAAGTGGATCTGGTTGGGCTGAAAGTATCCACTGTGCTGTACATGTTCATTAAATGGGGTGTGTTTCGATTATTAATCGATTACATAAGCAATTATTTCGATTTATTGATTATTATTTTTATCTGATTGCCCATCACTAGACCTACTGCATACATAGAAGCACATGAGTTCTGAAGACCTTCAATAATGTACACTATTTCCTTCAAATGAAGCCTTTCACTGGTGGCAAGCTATAGAAAATTATGTTACCTTACAATCTAAATAAAGAGGACCTAGTTCAGAATGAACCTTCGGTCAAAAACCTATATTTTAACTGCTGCTTGGGTCTTATCACTGTCGTATTAACCTACAAGGACATAGACAATTATTAAAATTGTACGAAACCTGTCATGTTTGTCATCCTCTATATCTGTTCACTTTTTAAATGTGGCTTCCTTGTGACCTACTTCAAGTTGGTCCTGGTAATGTTGTAACCTGTATCCAGTAATCCTGATGTCACAATCTTTGTCACCACGATTTAAAACTATCATACAATTTACTGATAAGATAAAATAGTAAACTATTAAACTATATAATCACATGGTTCTCAAACTTATCTAAGGTTCATACTTTATAATCGTGAACAACATGATTTCAAACACGACTTCAAACTTATACTTAGATCATTCGAACAAAAATCAAACTATAACACTTACTGTCATCAACCAAATATTCAAGAAAGAAATAAGACATTTTTCATAAAGGTATGATTTAGACTTCTCAATTGAGGGGATGTTCTAAGTTTAATCAAGAAGGTCATGCATTGACATACACCTTAAAATCAAATGGACAACCTTCCGCCGGATGCATAAAACACAACCATTATAAGTTGAAAATAAAAAGGCAAAGTACTTTTTCTGTCCTGAAAAGGTTTTCTTGTAAAAGGGCATTACCAGTAAATTTAATACATCAGACTGTCTCTATGTGAGGCTTGAAACATCTGACAATCAACCATCTATAGATGTCTAGATATTCATTTAACATTGACTGAATACTCAGATAATTCTCAGATTCTCTATTCTTTAACAGTATCAGTAAAATAAATTGGTCCTCATCAAGTATAAAAGGCTTTGTAAGGACATGATCAACCATAAAAAGAGACTGGTTCATATAGAAGTAGGTGAGAAGAAGAAAGATAGGTCAGAACAATTATCTTTCCTGTATAAAATGTTAATTATGAAGTAATTAGAATGAAAGAGAGATGGTTTATTTTATAAAGTAAACTATATTACAGTATTTCTAACCTATGACCTAATTATATCAGTAAACAATATATAAAGTGAATATTGCTCGTATTTCTATACATTATGTACTTTCTGTTATCTATGTTA